AATTTAAAATTAAAAAAAACCTGATTGGACCACCAAAACTGGCCATAACCAGAGCAGTAGTGCTCGATTCTAGTTTGACCAGCCGGTTTTGAGTTGTAGCGACTGAGTTTGCGGTTAAATATAATGATTGATTGATTTTGATTAGTTAGATCTATCGATTTTAACTAATTAAATCGATTAAGGATGTTGTTAGCATGCGGCCAATCACTCACATGTACAAAAGCGGGCTTGGTAATAAATATATATATTTTAAATATAATTTGATCCTAATTTTTAGAGAATACATAATATTTAGTATGAAAATCATGAATATGGATAAATAAATAAATTTTTAAAACTATAAATAATAATTATATCAAGAAAACATTTGAACCGTTAGTTACAATTGTTTTTAGATGGACGACCTATTTGCATCCATGTTTAAGATGGATGCTTTATACCTCTGGACCGCATATTGTATAAATGTGATCCAGCCCGCATGAAACAATTGTTCATCGATTAAACATAGCTGGACAAACCTTTACAATATATTTTATATTTCTAAATTATTTATCTTTTGTTTATGTTTCTTAAATCCGGATATTTTTTTAAGACAGTTGAACCAATATTACCTAGACCAAACCTCACATTGAATGAGTGGCCAGTGCTAGTAGCTCCAAATACTACAACAACCAGTAGACACCCTGCAGATGGTCTATACTTTGCCTTTTGTATCTTCTCACATGTGAGTGCTTCGGTGCATTCCATTCTAAAAAATAAAGCCAATCCGTAACTAGATGGTCCGTCTATTTAAGCAAATGGAAGGACCACATTATTTCGTCCAAATGTGTTGGCGTGAACGGTTAAGGTGTGCAAGATTTGAATGACACCACGGGCATGCCTTTATATGACCATTTTGTGAACAGAATGAGAGGGAAAATGAATTGGCCCCATTCCATTTAGCGTAATTTTGGCTAAAAACGTGTGGAAAGTACAAATTGATGGCCTTTCATCCATTTCGGAGTTTCGAGGATTAGGCTTTTGTCCAAATCTCGCCTGAACCCTAAAATGCATGAGGGGGTGCAATCGTCATCTTCCTCCTTTAATCCATAAGCCAAAAATTACAATCGTTAGAAAAAGTTTTAAAACCCGGATTGGGTGGTGGGTTTTGTTAGCTCTTAGATTGATACGGATCGGGGATTCGAGTTGGATCTGATCAACTCCCTATTGTGGGAATCAGTCTAAAAATGATGGGACCATGCTCCAAATATTCTATTATGGGTGCTCGTCAATCTGACCTTGGGTTAAATTGGCTAGCGCATTGGAAGATGAGTAGCATTTCGATCCCAAGCTACAATACTATTGCCAGTGTAAGGATCTCCCCACTGAGCTATCGAAAAAACACCGATATATTTCTATATCTATATGCATTCGTTGCACCAATTCAAATCCAGATTGGCGTTTTTCAAGAATTGAAATCATTCCTAAGATATGTGAAGAAAATTGTAGTAAAAAAAAAAAAAAAGCTCAATTTTCTGAAATTCAAGTATTCGAGTTTGGCGCACAGTAAAATTCGTCCTAAATTCACCGATATTCATAGAGCACTCATAGTGAAAACATTGAGATGCGAGGGCAACCCATCCATTTTCGCCGATCCCCAGGGGCAAATTCCTAAAATTTTGAGTTAAAAGTGACGGCTCGTAACGTGGCAGCATGGGGTGCAGCGGGGGTAGATAAAGAAAACAATTGGAAATGGGGCAAAGATAGAGAGAGAAAAAAAAAAAAAATGAAGACTGAAAAGGGACTGAGCGAGACGCCGCGAGCGGGAAATGAGGGAGAGAAACACAGAGGGGTCGTCTTCTCGCTCTTCCCTTTCTCTCTCTACACCACCCTCCCATTACTTCTAACTAGCCCTTCCCCTTCTTCTCATTTCTTACTCTAATTCAACATCGACTTTCTCTCTCTCCTCTCTCTCTCTAGGATATTTTCCGGCATGACGGCCGGTGATGGCTCCATACGATCAATATTGGACAAGCCCTTGGAAGAGCTCACGGAGGAGGACATCTCGCAGCTCACTCGTGAAGACTGTCGCAGGTACCTCAAAGAAAAAGGTATTTTTTTTTTTTTTGGTATTTTGCTGTTTATTTTCCTTTCGTTTCTCTCTCTGCAATTTCCCTTTTACTTTTTTTTCTTCCCATGGCTCTTGTCTTTGATTATCTGGTACCCTTATTATTGTGCTTTTTTTGGATTTTTTTTATTGGCTTCCCAAATTCATGCTAATTTTTGGAATGCTACTTCTCGGCTATTATTTTGAATGATTTTTTATGATATTCCCACCATATTTGAATGATTTATTTACAGTCTTTTGTTCTAATTCTGTGGATTTTTTTAAGGGATGCGAAGGCCTTCGTGGAACAAGTATCAGGCAATTCAGCAGGTTCTCTCTCTAAAAGGCCTCTTAGAGGGGAAGCCTTGCGATGACAACAGCGATGTTTTCAGTCACCGATCACCGATCACGGTCATTCCCAATGTATCTCTCTCTCTTTACCTCTTTCTCTCTTTAAATTCCATTTTTTCGTTAGAGATTTTTTTTGGCCAATTTTCTCAGTCAATTTAAGAAAAAGAAAAGGGATCTCCCATTTCTTTTGCATTTCTTTTTGCACAATCACAGTCCTCTTATTTCTTTACTTTATTTTTACGCAGGTTGGGAGCATGAGAGAGAAAGAAAAGGCCGTAAATATTGCGGATCCGGAGATATCGGGGTCTCATCAGCCGAATTTTCGCCGAGAAATTCACGAAACCACCCGGGAAAGAGCTTTACCGGCTTCCGACTGGTTTGACTCCCTGATCTCTCATACCTTTGTGCTTTCCGTAGGATGAAAGTGACCAAAGTACCCTCATATTAAATTTCACCTTCATACTCAGTTTACTCTGTAAAACCGGTCCATCGTACGGCTCTACGATATGTTTCTTTGGATGGCCGGTTCAGATCAATCCATCGTGTGTGCATAATTGCATACAAAACAAACTTCTAAGGACGATCGCATCAGATCAATAAATTCTTCCAAGGAAGGGTATTTTAGATACATTTGCCAGCAATAGGGGCGTGAATGTCGATTTTTCTTAAATGTTGTTTTGGGCGGTTCTGATATTTGGCTTGTTGATAGTACCTATTTCGACAAGTTCCCTTTAGGCGACGTGGTACTCCTCTCTTCCATGAGCTAGTTTCGAAATGTTGCCTGCTTTTTAAGTTCTTTCAAGTGTTATCTCTCTTCTATTTTTCGGTTAGCTTTCAGTGAATTTCGACTGAAATATCGGTTCCCGTCAGAGCCACAAAAATATCTCTACCTGTTCACTGAAAAGATCCGAATTTCGCAAGCCGTTATTTCGGCTATCCATACAAACGATAGAATTCGTCGATATTCCACCTCTTTATCGAGGAAATTAATCACTAACCGTTATTAACATATTAACAGCACATACACTGCTTTTGCCCACGCCTGGGCCTATGATGCTTTGAACCATTTAAATTTCGCCGAAATCTATGGATTTCGCCAAAATCTATGGATTTTGCCAAAATTACGTGGTTTCCATCATTTAAGTGAGTCTCAAAACTTTTCGACCAACGAAATGCACTTTCATATTAGAGGACGTATACTATGCTCTTTCGGGAGTATAGTTTACTTCGTGCTCCCTCGGTCAGAATATCTAGTTAGGGAATATTTTTTCAATCTTTACTTCAGGGAACCACTTCATTCTCAAATTTTTTAAAAAATATATGAAATTTGAGTTTTCCTTTACTTGGATCTTACCATCTTAAAATTAGGCAGTCTCTTGAGATATTATTTTTTTAAAGTTTGGAATTTTCTTTTATTGCGGTTAATATGTGGGTTGAAGAGGTTATGTCCTCAAAATTGGGGTCATGTGGGTTTTACCCCGATCAACATTCTACTCCCGTTGGAGTAGAATATCTTTAGGCTTCATATTACTATATCATTATTTTTTTATTTTTTATTTTAGGGCAATTTTGTAGTGGTGGCAATCTTATACCCTAATCACCACATTGTTATTTTCATTGCCACTGACACCATCCCATTAACAGGTTAAAAAAAAAAACTAACCCCTACATAATTATTGGTTTCTCATTGGTGAAGCAGGCCACCTTCTCAGGAGCCGGTATCTCAGATGACCATTTTCTATGCTGGAGCCGTTAACGTATACAACGACATTCCTGAAGATAAGGTACATCCTCGCCCTTCACTTTGCACCAACTTACGCAATAAACTCCCTCAATTGTATTAATTAATGTTAAGGCAAGTATCATCCAATGTCGAAGCTAAATATTGAGCTAGGTTAAACATTGGTCAAAATCCATGGCAAGTTCTAGCTGGTAAATCTGGTTTTCATGGTTGTTTGTGATTTTAAATAAGTTGGGTAAAATTTTGTTGTATATTATTATTTTAATTATTATATATATATATATATATATATATATATATATAGTAATGATCTTATGAGATCCTCCCACACCCATATGTGTAGGACCCCAAAGGATCACCATTAAATTTGGCGTAGATCTCTAGAAAAATCAAATTCCAC